ACCGGAAAAAAGCAGAAAAATGCCGAGTGGTATTTCGCTATCACAGATCTCCGACTCGACAGAACGGCCCCCCTTTAGGGCCTTTTTCTGAAACAAACTTTTCAGGAATTCAGCGGCTGAACTCGGGAAAAACACCTGCGATTTGGCCGCGGTTTGCAGCTGAAATTCGCCTGGAGTTAAAGTGCGCCCTTTTCTGAGTACTGTAGCGGTCAGAAATCAGGGATTTGGGCAGGCTAGCGGAGTGAATTTGGGGAAATGGCTTGGCGAATATGTTGGAATTTTGAAGGTCTGGATTTCCTAGAGAAACTGGGTTTTTTTGAGTGGCACTGTATTTTTACAATTGGGCAAGCTATCAAGGGAAATTTGCGGAAATTTCGTGTCCTAAATGGCTAGGAGGCCGAATTTTAAGCCAAATCATGGGGAAATTCTAAAAAGTTTTGTGTCATGACGAATGTTAAAAAGTGGAAAACTGGAGAAAATTTTGTGGGGTACTGTAGCGTCAGATCAGAGTTTTTCGAGCAGAGGAAATTTGCGAAATTGTCGTGCGATCAAAACAGCCAAATTGCGAAGGTCAATGGTCCCAATTTCCGGCGTAATTTTTGGCGAAAGCGTAAATTAGACACAAAATAAAATTCACAAAAAATGCAAGAAGCGCCGTAATCAGTACTCTAACGGAAATGAGGCCACAAGTAAAATGACCTAAAAAGCCAAAACTACCGTAATACAGGGTGGGCAAAAAAAAACCAATTTGGTCGAAATAACTCGGAAGGTAGGTGAAGGTAGTTACCATCCAAATTTAAATATGCTGGGTATGAAATTTAACACAACTTGTTTTTCGTTTTCGGCGACGTAATAATACAAATGACACCCGAAAACTGTGCGTTCGGGGAAACTTCATTTGCATTTTTCTCAGTTTCCTGTGGTGGCTGGCTTTTAAACTCTATTAAGTAGGTTAATATATATCGGCAGCTATATACCCACGAAATTTAAGAATTTTTGAGGGTCTGGTTGAAAAGTTATAGAGGAATGAAATTTTATATAGAGAAATTTCGTAAATTTCTGATATTAAAAAACTTATGGTGGAAACATAAAATAAGTGGTTGTAAATACCTATGGGCTATGCACAAGCACATAAACCTTAATAAAAATTTTCGGGTCGAGAATTTTCGAGTTTTCAACGACCCTAGTCATGGTTTTCGGGTGCGAAATCGAACTTTGGAAAAGTATTTCTAAATTGCCAAAGGGGACTCAGCTGTTTTCTTTGCGTAGCTATGGAGTTCTGGGGTTTATCTATCATCTACAAACTTTCGAGCCACCGTACCCCTTTGGAAGGGCGTCTTTAGGGCCTAAAACGTTCGCTCGTGCTTTTTCCAAACCTTGTCACCATTTTATAAAATTTAGTCGCACTGTGAAAATTATCGTTTTATTTTTATCTGATACCATTTAAATAGCGCATGCTAAAGCCTTATTCATGAATTTTTTTAACCTGCCGTTGGCGCAAGAAAATTCATCAACGAAATAAACCGATTGGGTTTGCGTAAAATTTTGGAAGGTGGAGTCGTAGGGTATTTTGAGCATAAGTCAGTGCCATCACTTGAATAAAACTATGCAAAGATTAAAGCAATTTCACGTCGCAAAAATTTAAAGAAGAATTTTAAACTTCGGTTTTAGAACAGGGTGATTTTCCATTTTTTGCTGAAAGTCACCATAATTTTGAATCAGATTGCTCCCGAATTTGACAGGCGTAGATAATAACATCAAAGCTATAATCGTATCCAGAAGACTTAGGTGGCTTTTTTATTTTTAAAAATTCGAAAATTGACCCGGCTACCCGAACCCAAAATCGGCTCTCGGGCCTTGTTTCGCACTTGGCCTCGTAACTTTTTTATTTACCACCCAAACTCAGTCATTTTTGACGAGCTGTCTTCCAGTCACCTCTAGAAGGTCCTCGAATTGAAAAATCGTCAATTTATGGAATTTTGCGATGGCATGCTAAAACGCGCTCCACCGGGGTTACGGTAGAAAACCGAAATTTGCGATTTTCGTGGTGTTTTTGCCATAGAATATCTTCCTTCTTATATCAGGCCTATAATCGAATATGCCTCAGTAGTTTCATCCCCATGGCTCAGAAAAGATCAGATTGCTCTAGAAACAATTCAGAAAGACTTCGCTCGACGTGTATGCTACCGGTGCCAAGTCCCGTACGTCTCCTATCGTTCGGCATGCACTCAATTCAATCTCGAACCATTGAACAATAGGAGGCTGACCGGGTTTTCTTTTTCTGTTTAATCTCCACAAGTTCCTTCTAATATTTCTGAAAATACTTTCTTTTCTGCTGCCCCTTCTCGAACTCGTGGACTAAAAACCAAAATTGTCCTATTCTGGTCCAAAAACCTCTGTGTCAAAGCTTTTTCTCCACTCGCGTAGCTGCTCTCTGGTTCTTTTCCCCAAACTGCCATTGATAGTCCGTCTAAGAAAGCCTTCAAAAATCATCTTTCCC